TAGGGTTTGGGGTTTAGGGAGCTTTTGACCCTCTGCCCCCCGTAATACCCCCCCCACCCCCCTGATCATAAATGCGCCCTCTACTCTAAGGGATTGAGAACCCCAGTAGAAATTATGATTTCNNTATTTTCAGGAACCTTGTAGTCTAGAGTAACATCATATCAAAGTGGGCGAGGTGTTACCCTTCGGCATCAATCCTAGTGGGTTCTCTTTCATCCCCCTATGCTACGCCCTCGGTTCCCTTACAATTTGCCTGAATTATCTCTAGATAACTCGAACTGAACGAACAACATTACAAAAATGGCTTCAGGTATAATCAAGGGTCTTGGGGTCCTTGGGTTCAGAATGATTGGCTGATTTAAGGCACTGGAGGATAGACACATGGGTGGTTGTCAAAATTATGGGCCCTTTTTGGATCCCTATTATAATACGGCACCTACTATTTTAGGGTACCCAAAAGGGACCATAATTTTGACAACCACCCACGTGAGGGGTTTCCGCAAGTTCCCAGATCCCGAGCTTTGTCCCGATGCTCTTCATGATGATCCCTCAAGGCCCTAAACCCTATAGTCCCCCTTAAGTAGATAGAATATGGGGGTATATGGGGATCTTATTATAATATACCCAAAGCCATATTCTATCTACTCAAGGGGGACTATAAACCCTAGAGTTTCATGTCTGGTTCCACTCCTGCTTCCTGTTGAGGATCAAGCCTCCCTTGATCTGATGTCTCCCTTATGACAGAGGTCCGCAGGCTTTCATAACCGAATGCTCTCCAAGGTCCTCTTAACCACTTGGAAGGGCAGAGAGAATATAATCATCACCGGCATATAAAACCTGCCCCTTGGCTTCAAAATAGACATGTAGCTTGTGCCTCACTGTCGCAATGTAGACTTGCCGCTCCCCCACTTTGGGATTCTGGGTGTAGGGGTATGGCTTGGGGGCTCAAGCATAATGCGGGGGGCTGAGATGCAAAACAGGGTTTGGTTTGAAGCCAAAGGTTTGGGTCCTGAGATCTGGGCCAGAACATGTACGGGCCGCAGGGTTTGACGCTTCGGGGCATCCGAGGTGTAATGCTCAATAAGGCTTTCAGATTTCATCGGGCTTGAGATTGAGCCTTGGGGACTATGGCGTAGAGTTCTTCATTGAAACGTTTAACCCAAAGCCCTAAACCCTAAACCCCGTTTGCTTCAAAGCATCCACCGGACGAACACGGTTCGATGTAGACTTAGCGGCCTTGAAGCCTGGTTTAGGGTTTAGGGTTTAGGGTAAAATCCTCAAAACTTGCACCCCTGAACCATAACCCTATAGTCCCCCTTAAGTAGATAGAATATGGGGGTCTATGGGAATCTTATTATAATATACCCAAAACCATATTCTATCTACTTAAGGGGGACCCTTAACCCCTAAACCCTAAACCCCCTCCTTGAGCGACTGCACCTGGGCCATCGCCACCTCGGACTCCTTGCAGCATGATGGGGTCGCAGACAGGTCGACTGCAGAGGCCTAAATAGGCACCACTGTCACCTTGAGGTCTATGTGAACTACCCTGATTCTACCAAGAACTAATTCTGCCAAGAATCTACAACCCTGATAATATGGGTAACTATTTAGGCTTCTGCATTTGAGTTTGGGCTTTAGCGTCTAGGTTGAGGAAGTAGAATCTTGGATTGAGGGCTATGCGCTTGGAGCTATACTCTGTATTGAGGTCTTCAACTCCGGCATGCAGTTTGCGGGATTGTGGGCTCCAGCGCCATGACAGCAAGCAGCTGCTCCATGCAATGGGAAAATTAGGGAAGCTTCCAAGCATCAGGGCCAGCTTCTGCACCACAAGGTCCTACTTCAAACTCCTCGCAACCTCTAGGTCTGCAGTCATGACATCCGGACTCATTGCCAGACCGGAGCCCGCCAACAAAAAACTGATGAATTCCTTGCCTGATTGTAGCCATCTTGGCATGTACCTTTCTGACCTCATCCCCTCTAAGCACTTGTACACCACGGATCGCTGGGATCAGCAGTAGCCTATGAAGTTTCATTTGGCGATTGCACGCATAAGCAGCTGTTAAGCTTCGTTCCGCCCGCACTTTGTGCTGGGCTGTCGTTATCTTAATTGAGAATCCGAT